AGCTGGATCGACAGATAACTTTACAATTATCGACGGCCTATATGATGAGCCACCCTCAATTGTATGTGACGGTGATTGAGGAGGTACGGGTGGTGATGAGGCATGGAGATTAGTGGCACTAGCCATGATGATGATAGACAGCTGTTGATGTGGAGTTCGATGATGAACTGCCTTTTGAATCAGCCTTTTTAGTCATTGAGACTAGTGGCACTAGCCATGATGATGATGACAGCTGTTGATGTTGAGCTCGATGATAGATGACAAATACTGCCTTTTTAGTCGGCTTCGAAAGTTGTTGACCCAACTCTGAGCAAATGATGGTGGTCGACTCGATTGATGAGATCGAGTGAGAGCTAGTCTCGACTCGGCTTGGCTCGGGAAAGGTCAAGTGCCCAGGTGACCCGAGTCGCCCCTGGCTAGGGTGAGCTGACATGTTAGATTAATGCTGATATGGGATACGTGTCACCTTCGAGAGGAAAATTAGCAATTAGGTTAATTAATGTAGTAACATAACTAATCACATAATTGACAATAATGTCGGCCAAAGTAATAAAAGCTACGATAAAAATCCATAATTAGGACAAAAAAATGCTCCAACATGAAGGTACCATTAATGCAAACTTTCATGAACTGACTCATGTAACTATTAATTAATATATTGAAATATGAGAGATAGATCAAAAGTAATTATGTCCATGATAAATTGACTCATATAATGTCTCACAATATTGCTCACCGTTGTTTCTTTTGCATGTTATATAAGTATTCTGAAGTAAATATTCCTCAATTAATGAGGCTACAACCATTTCTCTTCATCCAGTCTTATATAATGCTTACCATCTATTACGAAAATAAAATACAAGAAACACACACAAAAAAGTAGAGAAAACAATGACAAAAATCAACATATTTTAATTTATGCCTCGTTTTCTATTATCTATGTCACCCAGTTTGGAGAATTTGCTCAAGGAAACGTTGATTGCAAAGCTCATCTCAAAGACTTGCATGTTAATTGCAGGGATTTTGTTAAGATCAAAGGACCATAAATTGAACCATCAGTACAATGTTGCAATTCTATCAAACATGCAAATAATACTTGTGTTTGCAAGCATGTTACGCCAGAGATTGAAAAGAAAATCAATATGAAGAAGGCGGTTTTTATCACTCGCGTATGTGGCAATCCCCTAAAAAAGGGAACCAAATGTGGAAGTAAGTTTCTCCATTTTTAATTTCTTGAGCATTTATAGTACATAAAATAGTTCGCTATTATAAGGGGTGGAAAACTGAGAAAACCCCTCCACGTCAGATTTTTAACCCTCCACGTCAGCTTTTTTGTTTCCGTCCATTTCTTTGTACCGCTTTGGTTCGCTCGAATGAAAGAGGAAAAACTCTGCTGAAATCGCCGCCAACTAAGATTTTTTTCTCTCTCCGATTTCCTTCCCATACCAAGTGAAATTGATGAAAACTCTGCCACGTCAGATTTTTTCCCTTCTCTGCTTTGTTTACAAAAGTTTTCCTTTTTTTTTCTATGCGAACCAAACACAAGAAAAATAAATACATTGGTTTCCCACCATTTTTTATGTGCGAACCAAAGCAAAACAATCTATTTCTTGGAAAAGTTTGGAAAACTCAAAACTTGTGTTTCTTTACATGGAATTGCATTTCTCTATATCAAGGAAACGAACCAAACAGCCCCTATATGGAAGAAAAACAATTAGCAACTTAAAGATGAGTATTTGCATTTATTTATTTAGGACATGCCTAAAACATTTACATAAAATTGATGGCAGCGGCATATCTTTCTACAAATAATCAATCTAATGTCTATAATAATACTATACTTCTAATATAATGAAAGAATTTCTAAAGTTTAAATGCTTATACAATACATAAGTTAGTGTGAATAAGTATTACAAAATATATTTCTTCATAATTTTCTTCTAATTTTTTTCCATATACTTATTGATTCTTCATATTTTTTTCTTAATATATATTTATCACATGCCTATTAAGATCCTCATCATAGCTTGTATCTTTTGAGTTATTTTCAGGCTATATTGTTCCAGAAGCATAATGCACAGAGGAGATGTAAAGCTTAAAGAGAACCGGATCCGCGCACAATAATTATTTGATGTTAATTATGATGACATGATATCCCATTGATGTAAAATATGTGATTACAAAACAAATTATGTTTTACTTTTGAATGTCTGACATTGTACCTTCTAATCTTCTATACTATATAATATAATAATATCTCCGATTCCCTAGATTCCCTAGACAAATCCCATTATATTATTAAACTCACGAGGAGTGATAGGAGCACACCCCCAACCACAATCCAAACCACACCTCCTCTCTGTCTATAGTGCATTAGGACCCATATGAAATTTTAAAAAATAATTTCATGTGGGTCCCAATGCACTATAGAGAGAGAGAGAAAATGTGTGGTTGAGATTGTAGTTGAGGGTGTGCCCCTAACATTTCTATAAGACCAAGTGCAATAGGAGGGGAAAAGGGTGGTTTTTCCATACAGCAGCTAGGGAAATAGGAAGGAAAATTTCAAAAGCTTTCCAAGGGGTGAAATATTTCCCTTCCGTGAAATTGCATGAAATACACTTTATGTGGGGCCCGCCTCCTATATAAGAAAAAGAAAAAAAAAATTAATGAAGACTGGTCCAATGGGAGAGGAGCACGCAGCCCCATCAGCCCCCACCAACCCCACGATTTTTGACCAGCCATGCACATGGAAACATGCCCTCTCCCCATTGGACCAACTCTTTTTTGTTTTCACCTAATATTTAAATTGTAGATTTGGAGAATAAATAATTCGAATTAAAAAATTTTTATACCATTATTTCTAATTTTTCAAGGCCTATAAATAGAGCCTAAATTTGTGTCATTTGGACAACAAAAAAAAATTAAGGTTTTACACCCTTTATTTCTTCCTTTTTGCATTTCTCTCTACTTTCTTCTTCCATTGTCAAGCCTTTTTTACAGCCTTCATGGATCCTTCACAAAATTACAATTTGCCCCCAGGTTACAATTTTCCTAATCCTCAAAATCCTAATATGCAAGGCCCAGAAAATACTCAGAATACGGGGATGCCGGCAAATTTTCAGATGCCGTATATGATGCCTCCAAATATGGGCATGTAATACACGTATAATAATCCTTATATGCCATATGGGTATCAACAATATCCTGGAAACAGCTATGCTCCCTCCAATATGAACATTCAGTTGAAGAAGGATCTCGTCGAGGACATTTGGCAAAAATTTGGAACAACCCTAGACTAGATTTACCAATTTAGTGTGTGTTTTCTTGAATGTTTTCAATAATTTGTATGTTTGGTTTTTCGTGTGCTTAATAAAATCGTGTGTTATTTTATGTTAATTTAATAATAATATTAAAAATTAAATTAGTAATATATATAAATATTAAATATTATTTATTGAATATTAAATTATTAATAAAATTATAATTATAAATATATTAGTTATAATAGTAATAATAATATATGAAAATGCAAATTTGAAGTATGAGGGACTAATATGCAATTATCAAAGATGTAAGGGGCAGTCATCTAAATAATCCTTGATATTTCTAGATGGTTTTTTTTATTACTATCACACGAGAAAAATAGAAGATGGTTTTGCATTCGAGTCAGGTCGTATAAGATCCGCTTATTGTTCAATACTACCGTAAATAGCCCAGAAATTTTTTTTAAACGTTTAAAAAGTTTCTGTTCATCTGAAATGAGTTTTTCCTTGAAAAGATATAAAGAATCATTTCATGTTTTCAAAGTTGAGGGGGTTATCTTCAACACCCTCAAACTTGAAAGGATTTGTCCAAATTAAATTGGAAAAAATGTGTCAACGCCCCAAAAACAAAAATCTCTTGTGGCCCAACCCCTTAAAGTTTTTCTCGTATGCTTTAACCCCAAAAGACCCAACAAATTGTGTTCTAGCCCATTTTCACACTCTCCCAAAAAATGACCCAAAAAAGTTCTGAAAATACCCCTTGTTTTTCTTCTTCTTCTCTATGGCTTTCTCCTCCTCCTCTGCTCTAACTGCCCATTTCACCTTTTCTTCTCTCCTCCTCCTCTCCCCTAACCCTAT